GGTCTACGTATGCCGGAATGTCTTCCCTGGGCTGGCTGGCTGATGGATGTCGGAGGGTGGGAACGGTGTGGGGGACGGACGAGCAGGGAAGGCCGCAGGGAGTGACGAGCCCAGGAGGTCTGGACCGCAGGAGGCCGATCATCTGGGCTCCGAGGCAAATGATGTAGCAGCATCGCGTGGCAGAGCCGAGCTGCTTCCGGGGCCACCTCTTCCCCCACCAGCCTGGCATTAAGCTTCCACTTCCCAAGCAACATCCAGCCAGAGGCTGTGATGGGCTAGGCAAGTCATGAGGCCCCCATAAAGCACCCTGTATGGAACACACAGCGTCTCCAAGTGGTTAGAGCGGGGGGGGGGGTGGAACTTGGCATCAGGACACTTAGATTCTGTTCCTGGTTTAGGGAGGGGAGTGGCGCCTAGGTGTTAGAGGAAGGAGAACTTGGAGTCAAGACCCCTACATTCGATTCTCTTTCATTCCTGACTGTCTAGGCCTCAGTTTCCCCATCTGTGAGATGGGGATACTGCCCCAGACCTACCTCGTTAGGGGAAAGCGGTGGGGCTTACAGTACATGGGAGGTGGGTCTGAGAGCATGATCTGCAGCAGGCCAGCACGGCGCAGATAGTGATCCAAGGGAGAATTCGCCCTCCGACCTGCCTACTGCCTTTCGGGGAGGGAAGTGAATGGCAGGGATGGAGCATTTCAAGTGTAGACAAACCCTGAGTCCGGCTCCACTGGCTCTAAAACCATCTAACCCCTTAGGCGCGCCATGACCTCAGGCACTGACCCGCAGCCTCGATCTCTGCCCTTCCCCCTCTACCAAACGGCTCAGATCTTTTCCAGAGCCGCGCGGACAATCCCCTTTCGAGACTCTGCAAGGTGCTGTTGTTCCTCCAGGGACGGACGCTCCGACTCTGACCAATGTTGCAAAAGAGAGGAGCCGTCTGAGAACACGCAGGCGATGACCAGAGGAGGGGCAGTCCCTGCTCTGTCTGGGGCACAGCTGAACTTTTCGCCTCGGAGCCTGCTGCTTCCGGCAGATTCTGGCTCTCCCCCAGGCGAGGGAGCACGACTCGCCCCCTGCTCCAAAACCCACTTCGTGGCAGCCTGCCCCAGCACCCTTCAGCTTCTGTGCAATTCCAGTTCCTAGAAAATGTTCCAACCTGCTTTTCCCCTATCTCCTCTCCCACCGGTGTCGCCTGGGCTGGATTTGGGGGAGGAGGGGGTTCCTTTCTAACACCCCAATCTGCCAGGATGCCCAAGACAAGCTGAGGACCCCGCTGTCTGGGGGCCAGAGGAGTCGCCGGGGCTATTGGGTGGGTGAGGCCAGCCGTGTAGCCAGGGAGCAATCTCTGCTCTGTGCTTTCTCAAGGCTGGAGCCTTCCGTGCGCCCTCCACTAGGCCCCTCTGCTATGCACTTTCAAAGAGCAACATAATGGGGAGCCCTGGGGGGCGAGTGCCACTGTGTCTCCATCTCTGTGCCGCAGTTCCCACTCCGTGTTCCCAGGCCTAATCAAACCCAGAACCCATCATCTCCCTGGCAGCTACTTCCCAGCACAAGATCCTAATTCGGTGCAGCTGGGAGGCCCAGCGGCGATGCTGGTGAGCACAATACACGCCGGGAGCTGGGTGTGTGTGTGTGGAGGGGGGGGTAAGTATTCGTGCTGCCGGCCTAACGAGGTTAATTACAGATTTCATGCCCCAAGGTTTTCTCATGGTCTTGGCGCACGTGTCTTCTCCAGCAGGAGGTGCTTTTGGGGCTGGAGTGGGGGTGGAGCTGGGAATTGAAGGGAACAGCTGATGCAGGACAGGGCCCGGGGGAACACGGACACATGTGCATTGCTCCTGGATGGCCCCATGGCTAGCTTGGTCATGGCACCGCAGCACGCCTATACGCCAGCATCCCGAACACGACTCTGTCGCCCTCTACTGGCCAGCCCGGCAACTGCTCCTTTGTGTGGAGAAAGGAGCCGCGGATCCCGGTTCAGGCCCACTGACAAGGGGGGGGAAGGGAGGGAGGAAGCAACTGCCCCAGGCCTGGGGCTCCTGGCTGCTGTGACTGCAGCAGCGGCAGTGCGCAGAGGCCCGGCTGGGACGCTCTGTGCGGCTCTGAGGGCTAGGACTGGTGTGGCACACTTCGTGCGGTTCTAAGGGCTGGGGAGTGTAGCGTGCTCCGTGTGGCTCTCCGGCTG